ACAAAACTAAAAGTTGGTTCTTTGAAAAAATAAACAAAATCGACAGACCCTTAGCGATGCTAGTGAAGAGAAGAAGAGAGAGAACTCAAATTACTAGCATACGGGATGAAAAAGGCAATATCACAACAGACACTTCAGAAATACAGAAGATAATCAAAAACTATTTTGAATCCTTATACTCCAATAAATTAGAAGATAGTGAAGGCATAGATAAATTTCTTAAGTCATATGATCTGCCCAGATTGAGTCAGGAGGATATAGAAAACCTAAACAGACCAATATCAATTGAGGAGATAGAAGAAACCATCAAAAGACTACCAACTAAGAAAAGCCCAGGTCCCGATGGGTATACAGCAGAATTTTACAAAACCTTTAAAGAAGAACTAATACCAATACTTTTCAAGCTACTTCAGGAAATAGAAAAGGAGGGAGAACTTCCAAATTCATTCTATGAGGCCAACATCACCCTGATACCTAAACCAGACAAAGACACTTCAAAGAAAGAAAACTACAGACCAATATCTCTAATGAACCTAGATGCAAAAATCCTCAATAAAATTCTGGCGAATCGGATACAAAAACATATCAAAAAAATTGTACACCATGATCAAGTAGGATTCATCCCTGGGATGCAAGGCTGGTTCAATATACGGAAATCAATAAATGTTATTCACCACATCAATAGACTTAAAAATAAGAACCATATGATCATCTCGATAGATGCGGAAAAAGCATTTGACAAAGTACAGCATCCCTTTATGTTCAAAACTCTAGAAAAACTAGGGATAACAGGAACATACCTCAATATTGTAAAAGCAATCTATGCTAAGCCTCAGGCTAGCATTATTCTGAATGGAGAAAAACTGAAGGCATTCCCTCTAAAATCTGGAACAAGACAGGGATGCCCTCTCTCTCCACTTCTCTTCAACATAGTTCTCGAAACACTGGCCAGAGCAATTAGACAGACGAAAGAAATTAAAGGCATAAAAATAGGAAAAGAAGAAATTAAATTATCACTATTTGCAGATGATATGATTCTATATCTAGCAGACCCAAAAGGCTCTACAAAGAAACTATTAGAGCTAATAAATGAATTCAGCAAAGTGGCAGGATTTAAAATCAACACGCATAAATCAAAGGCATTCCTGTATATCAGCGACAAATCCTCTGAAATGGAAATGAGGACAACCACTCCATTCAAAATATCTTCAAAAAAAATAAAATACTTGGGAATCAACCTAACAAAAGAGGTGAAAGACTTATACAATGAAAACTACAGAACCCTAAAGAGAGAAATAGAAGAAGATCTTAGAAGATGGAAAAATATACCCTGTTCATGGATAGGCAGAACTAACATCATCAAAATGGCGATATTACCAAAAGTTCTCTATAGGTTTAATGCAATGCCAATCAAAATCCCAATGGCATTTCTTGTAGAAATAGAGAAAGCAATCATGAAATTCATATGGAAAAATAAAAGACCCAGAATAGCAAAAACAATGCTAAGCAAGAAGTGTGAATCAGGCGGTATAGCGATACCAGACTTCAAACTATACTACAGAGCAATAGTAACAAAAACAGCATGGTACTGGTACCAAAACAGGCGTGTGGACCAATGGTACAGAATAGAGGACACAGAAACCAATCCACAAAACTACAACTATCTTATATTTGATAAAGGGGCTAAAAGCATGCAATGGAGGAAGGATAGCATCTTCAACAAATGGTGCTGGGAAAACTGGAAATCCATATGCAACAAAATGAAACTGAATCCCTTTCTCTCGCCATGCACAAAAGTGAATTCAAAATGGATCAAGGAACTTGATATCAAATCAGAGACGCGCCGTCTGATAGAAGAAAAAGTTGGCTACGATCTACAGTCAGTGGGGTCGGGCTCCAAATTCCTCAATAGGACACCCATAGCACAAAAGTTAATAACTAGAATCAACAAATGGGACTTACTCAAACTAAGAAGTTTTTTCTCAGCAAAAGAAACAATAAGAGAGGTAAATAGGGAGCCTACATCCTGGGAACAAATCTTTACTCCTCACACTTCAGATAGAGCCCTAATATCCAGAGTATACAAAGAACTCAAAAAATTAGACAATAAGAGAACAAACAACCCAATCAACAAATGGGCCAAGGACCTGAACAGACACTTCACAGAGGAGGACATACAGTCAATCAACAAGTACATGAAAAAATGCTCAACATCTCTAGCTGTCAGAGAAATGCAAATCAAAACCACCCTAAGATACCATCTCACTCCAGTAAGATTGGCAGCCATTAGGAAGTCAAACAACAACAAGTGCTGGCGAGGATGTGGGGAAAAGGGTACACTTGTACATTGCTGGTGGGACTGCAGATTGGTGCAGCCAATTTGGAAAGCAGTATGGAGAGTTCTTGGAAAGCTGGGAATGGAGCCACCATTTGACCCAGCTATTCCCCTTCTTGGTCTATTCCCTAAAGACCTAAAAAGAGCATGCTACAGGGACACTGCTACATCGATGTTCATAGCAGCACAGTTCACAATAGCAAGACTGTGGAACCAACCTAGATGCCCTTCAATAGACGAATGGATAAAAAAAATGTGGCATTTATACACAATGGAGTATTACTCTGCATTAAAAAATGACAAAATCATAGAATTTACAGGGAAATGGATGGCATTAGAGCAGATTATGCTAAGTGAAGCTAGCCAATCCCTAAAAAACAAATGCCAAATGTCTTCTTTGATATAAGGAAAGTAACTAAGAACAGAGTAGGGACGAAGAACAGGAGAAGAAGATTAACATTTAACAGGGATGAGAGGTGGGAGGGAAAAGGAGAGAGAAGGTAAATTGCACGGTAATGGAAGGAGACCCTCAGGGTTATACAGTGGAGGGGGTAGAGAGAGAGGAGGGGAGGGGAGGGGAGAGGTGGGGAGGGGGGAGGGTGGATGATGGGAAAGGCAGCGGAGCACAACAGACACTAGTATGGCAATTTGTAAATCAATGGATGTGTAACTGATGTGAATCTGCAATCTGTGTATGGGGTGAAGGTGGGAGTTCATAACCCACTAGAATCAAAGTGTGGAATATGATATGTCAAGAAATTTGTAATGTTTTGAACAACCCACAATAAAAAATTAAAAAAAAAAAAAAAAAAAAAAAAAAAAAAAAAAAAAGAGTGTTTTAATTGCAACACCAAAACACCATTGGGGATAATTAATTATTATGCATTTTAATCATATCTCAAGACGTATGAATTTGAGGCCAGGTGTTTAGCCCAGTAGCAGAGTGCTTGTATAACACATGCAGGGACCTGATTTGATCCCCAGCACTACACACAAAAGTATGAATCCTTAGGATTACTAACATGTACACAAGATCTTCCCCAATTTCTCATAGAATGATCTTAGCTCAAATTCATTTTAACAAAAGCACAGATTACATATCCCTAAACTCCTTCTGAGTTTAAACAATATATTTACTTTGACCCAAAGATTTCAGAATAAAGTTGGTCAGCACATCTCACCCTAACTAAAAGGCTGGCAACTCAAAAGAGCTGCTACCCTCACTGAACCAAGCTTTGTCTCTAGCCTTTCTTATTCTATAATTGTTATCTTATCACACCTCTATTTCTTTCTTCCATCTAGATTTTTTCTCATTAAAGCAAGAAGAATTTTAACAATGAGGGAAGCTCATAGGCAGAGAAGGGAAATGTTTATTAAACTAATACCCAAAGATACACATGATATTTCATAGATAGTCCGCAACTACACATAAAAGATTACACTGCAAAAACACTATCTTATTCTTTCAACTTAAAGCATAAAGGGTTTTTGCTTGACAACCACCAGGATCCAATGGTTGCAGACAACCATGTTCTACTGGTTTAGGGTTGTAGTTCTCAAACGTTGAGGAGAATTACCCAAGAGTTTCTAGGGACCACGAATGTGTACTTCTAATAGATTCCCAGATATTGCTTGTTTAAACCCATTATTTCCTATTGCCCTAAATATGAACACCTATAAAAACCTAAATTGAGTAATTTTATAGGTGTCCCATATGATGGGACATTATGGATTTAAGGACCATTCTTTGAGATAAAATCAAGTAGTAAAGAAAGAAGCTGAAGGAACTAAAGTAACAAGGAGCTAAAATTATAGATCTGAAAATTTAAAAGTCAAATAATTTAAACTCAAACTAAATATCTGAACTCCTGTTCATTTTTAAGTTAGAAAAGATTTTATGGTAACATCCTATATCTCCTACCCAACAAGTTTACTGAAATAGTGCCATCTTGTGGCCAAATAAAGAAAAAGCACACATGTAAAAAATAAGGCTAAATTTTGGTTGCTAAAATGAATGACAAATGGGGGAATGGGGGACACGGACCTTACACAAAATAGTTCAGAGTTACTGTTCAATACCATGCTAAGCAAATCTCCCACATAATCCATACTGAATTGAAAACAGCCATTAAATTTCTGAATAAACATCAACATGCAAGTAGTATGGTTCAAGAAAACCTCTAATAAAGCTAAAAAAAAAAAAGAAGTTTGTAGAAATGGAATTTGATAGTGATTTTCACATTTATTAGATGCAGGAGTACCAGATGAAAAAAGCATAATAGAAATAAATGTACTTAATGTAATAAACAAGGAGTACTAAGGTACTATAAAAGCTTTTACAGTCAATAGAAATGTAGACGACCACAGGATAACTTTGAAGATTCAAACTAAGCAACAAGAAAAGTGCTTTGTGCCCATACTTTTTGAATGCTCAAAAATAATTATTCAATCATAGATGAGGGCAAAGAAAAAGGTTGTCTTAAACTCTCACTAAATCTTTGCTTATAGCCAAAAAAAGTGAATTCTAGCAGACATTACAACATATAAAGTGATTTAATTCTACATATAAGCTTCATATTAATGACTCAGGAAAAACATTAGTTCAAGTATAAGATTACTAACCTCCTAGGTTACTCATATTTATTCAGACAGAATTTGGTCTTACCCTCAAGTCTCCTGTGCCAGGAAAGTATTCCCCATACTTATGGAATGAAACAGTCATTACACGATCTGTTGTATAAAAAGCTTCTTCAACACCATCACCATGATGTATATCTATATCAATATATAAGACTCTCTGATGATACCTGAAAACAAGGCCATATTTAAGTTGTTGTTATTATTATTATTATTATTATTATTATTATGGTTCTAAGGTGAAAATAATTACCAGAAACTCAGGAAACTATAATTTTAGCTCTTGCATTCCAGAATGTTTAACCCTTTTCTTACTTTTCCTCCAGCCTAGGAGATCATTCAAAGATCTAAAGTTAGTTTGAACCTTATACCTTTAAATCTCCCATTTGGGCCCAATTTAAGTGAAAAAGTATTTTTACTTGAGAAACTTGTCCTATTTTACATGCTTTAAAAATAGCACATATTTCTATATATTAATATTTATAAAACAGCACATATTCTATATATTCTATATTAAAGACTATACCATACAAGATTGTTACTTCAATTAAAATACCTCTCTATAGTAAATCTTCAGCATTATAAATAAATAGGTCAACAAACTGTGCATATAAGACAAATCTGGGCAACTGGTTTTTAATAGCTTTGAGCTAAGAATAGTAAATGTTTTACATTTTTAAATTGTTAAAAAACAGAAGTTGAAACAAAAATATTTTTGACATGTGAAAACTAAGACATTCTTTTTGCGTCCATTAAAAAAGTTGTACTGAAACATGGCCATGATCATGTTTATGTTTTGTCTATGACTTCTTTTGTCCTGCAACTGAAGTGCTCAACAGTTCTGACAGAGGCCATATATAAGACTTTAATCACTTCACACTGATGCTTTAGAGCACTACAAATTGCAGTGATGCATTTTTAACTCAAATATATTTTAGGAGCCATCATATCACCACTATCATGATATTTTATTTATTACCACTGCCTACCCATGACAAAAAAAGAAAAGGGTAAACTACATCCAATGTTATCATTTTGAATACAGTGATATGCAGATTATTTTGTTATTGCATTAGATGACAAAACACTGTATTTCCTATAAATGATACCATAGCTAAGTGAAAAGAATACTATAAGTTGACATTATCAGATTAGGTACTCATGATACTCTCAACTCACAGAATATCAACATTCAGAAAACTCAGAAAATTTGAAAGCAGTATATCTCATCAAAGCAGAAATTCTTCACAAAAATGAAAAAATATAAATGAACCTGTAGTCAAGGTTAAATTTCCAAATGGCTCATGTGTTAGAAAAAGCAAGGAAAACTGTTCACCAAGTCAATTAATTAAATAATATTTGAATTTTACCAGGAGGTAGAATTGTATCCAGAAAAATTAAAATTGTTTAAGACTATCAGCCTTGTGGTCAAAAACTTGTTCAAAGAGGTGAAGACACTGGAAGAAACATCAATATTCAAAAAAACTAGGTGAACAATTTCAAATGGTTTGCTTTGGCTCTTGATGAGTCAAGAGGATGTTAACACAGACTCTACTCAGTTATGTTTACTAATTTAAGGAGTCAATACCAAGGTTAAGTGGCTGAAAATTAGCTTCTGTGAATAGTATGCATGGTGTAACTACAAGCAAGAACATTTTCAAAGCTGAGAATACAAATTTTATACAGTATAAAACAGAATCTGCAAAAATGTTATAATTGATGGTAAAAAAAAATATCTAATTTTGTTAATCTCCAAATTCCTAAGCACTTTCATTAGTTTCTTTCTCAAACTGTAGTCAAGAATGACTTAAAAAAATATATCCTTCAGCAATTTAGAGAGAATGTTATTATCAATTAGTAGAGAACAAGCCCTATCCAGATGTGGAAGCCAGGCTAGACTCACTCAACAGGTAAAAAAAAAAAAATTGCCCTTAACACAAGTTTCGAATTTTCAGCCTCAAATTAAAACTTAAAACTATTAGGATATAAAATTCCCAAGGTTATATTACTTTTCATTAGTTGAAGCAGTAACAAATATAAATTGTCAAAACTACTTCTAAAAGGGTACTTAATGGTAGTTTTAGACATTTATACAATGCATTGCTCACTCTAAACACAAGGACTGGATAAATTTTCCTATGCTTCTATCTTTCCTTATTATGAATTTGTAGAAATTCACCATATCAACCTACTATCATTTACTTGATGCTTTTAAAAATTCTTTTAAATTTTGTTGCATTTTAATGAAAACATTTTATCACAGAAAAAATTATCAATGCAAATTAACTTACTTTAGTAATTCAAGGATGGCAAGCACAATATCATTAACATAACAGAACCCTGATGCTTCTGATTTCTTTGCATGATGTAATCCTCCAGCCCAGTTAACAGCCATATCAGTTTGCTGTCGGTTTAGCTTCACAGCCCCAGCTAAAAAATAGAAAGATAAGACATATAAAATAAAAAATTAAGAGACAAAAAAATCTTATAATTAAGAACATGCTATGTATAAGCAAAAGAGTCTTAAATCATAAGGGATAAGAATCACTGTATAGGACACTAGAAAGAAGTTTCACTTCTGGTGTTTTCCTATAGCCATGATCTGACTAATGGTATGCGTGGGAGTAACAATGACCATTAGGGGAAAAACAGCCTTTAAATGGAAAACTTAAACTTTAACCAAAATTTCAAGTCATTACAATCATACAACATGGGGAATTTGAAGACAATCACAGTTGCTATACTCTAGACTGAAGGAAGTATGCGTGGTTAGGCTTAGTTCTAGGTGTAATGCAATCAGGAAGTGACAGATTCATTAGAAGTTGAGGCCCAGTAGGTGATTTTAGGTCACTGAAAGCAGGCCCTTGAAGACCCTTGTCCCTTCCTCTTTCCCATATAGCCATGAGGTAAATAAGCTTTCTCCCCTTTGGGCTTTGTTACCACAGGCACAAAGCAATAGGGCCAGTCATGAACTGAAACCCCTAAAACTTCGAGCCAAAACAAACCTTTCCTTTTTCTAAGTTGATTATCTCAGGTATTTTGTTAAGTGATGGAGGGCTTATTAACACAATATTCTACCGTAACCACAGATTCCTTTTTAGTATCAAAATCCACTTCTGTACCAACTTCTGCTGTAAATGAATAACTCAAAGGTTACATAACCATATTTAGATCAATTTTAAATATGAACTGAGACACTTACCAACTGAGCCACCAGTGGAAAGCTGACAAAACTCAAACAGTCCATCAAACACTGGACAATCTTCTCCAACATTGACTGTGGAAGATGAATTTCATTGCATTATTCAAATTAATGAAAGCTCTTACTTATAAAACTTTCCTACAAATACTTTTATTTCATGTAATCATAAAACATACTTTATAGTAGTAATCTAAAATTCATAATTTTAAGACATACTTCATTATTTTACTCAAGGCAATTAAAGTTTTGTGAAATATCATGAATCTGTTCAGAATCATTTGTGAAATATTTCTGCTCTATTAACAAAAAATCCATTATTTTTCAAAACACAAAAGCTCTTTGCTTTTATTTAATTAAAACATAGGCTTAATTTTCTGGGTAGTTCTTATTCATAAAACAATCAAGATTCTAAAAATTAAGTTAATTCTAATTAATTTATGACAACCTTAAAACTTCTTAGGGCACACATAGCATCCATAACTTTGAAATGTATCTTTTAATGAGTTAACAACAACAACAAAAACAACAAAATGTTAACAGTTGGTTGGCTACATCCACGGTTAACCTTGATCTTGAAAGATGATTAAGAATTAACTAGGTTTGAGAACCAAGATATTGAAGGAAAGGGCACATAAGGTAATTACAGATATACAACATATAATGATATACTTAGTTCCTTAGTGCTGACAGAATAAAAGGGATAAGGTAGATTCATACAACCCATTCACATTCTACCCATACTCCAAATTATAACCTTTTAAAGAACAAGCATTATAAATAAATTTTAGGGATGGGGATGCAGAGGGATGTAGTTTAGTGTTACACGTGATGCCTGGGTTCAATTCCCAAGTACCACCAGGAAAAAAAAAAAAAAAAGAATAAATTTTAGTTCATTATTGCTCAGATATAATCATAATTTAACTCACAATTTTATAAATTTTAAATTGGTCCTGATTTAGTCCACGGGTTACCCTTGACTCTAGGTATGAATCTCCACTTGGGAAAAAAAATCATGAATAATAACGCATCACTTATAGTATCTTATTGAATCATACTAGATAATCTATGGTAGATAGATGTGTGAATGAAGTACTATGACTTTGTGAGACAGCTAGTGCTAGTAACTAAACTTAATATAATCATCACTGAAGTCATCAATAAAAACACTGATGAAAATGAACTGCAAAATCAAACTTTTTCCCCAACACTGTGATCCAATCATTTTAGGATTTTCTGCATTCTACCTTCAAATCAATTTGTTACCAATCTATAACAATAAATTTCTTTGAACTTACAAATGACAACAGTAGTAGAAAAGAATATTTCAACAAAGGTGAAAACAAAACATGTATTAAAATGCAGGTTTACTAAAGCACATAAATAGCAGACAAAAGTTGCTTACCATGGAAAGACTAATCAAAGTATACGTATATATTTTTTGAAGCAAAGGAGTACATTCTCCCTACCAATATCCATTATCTATATCTCAAAGTTATCATGGGAGCAAAATAAAAAGTAAAATACCATCTGAACTGCCATTTGTATAAGTTTGTTTTTAAACATAGCTTCAACATTATTGTACTGACTTGTCAAATCAATCAATCAATCAATCAATCAATAATCATAGTAATATTTTAAATCTCCAGGAAAAAAAATACCGATTTCTGTAACTTTCTCAAGCTTCTATATATATATATATATATAGACACACACACATACATATACACACACATATATTTTACATAAAAACTTACATCTCTGCATTTGCTTACTATACTCAGACATATTATCTGGTCTTATTGACCGTAGAAATTTGATATACTCATCACTGTGATATTTTGTCATTTCCTCAGCAGTGGCTTTATGGGGTCTCTGTAAAGAGAAATAACAGTCAGAACATTAGAATTACAGGTGGTTATATCAGAATTATCAAACAAAATATACAATTTTCTCTAATAGCCTCTTTAAAACAACTATGTCTGCCAGAATAAAACAGATTCCAAAGCTAATCAAAATCATTAATGGGTGCTTTAGGGAACAGTAATCAATACCAAAGCTAATTCAAACTCCTTTAGAAGCACTAAATATAGTATGAACTATGACTTAATTACTCCTTTTTTTTTAGTAGAAATAGGTCAAACTCATAAAGTCAAATCCATGTTTATAAACCACTTTTCTCATTTTCTACCACCAACTTTGTTCTATGAACACTGATTTTATCAATGAGCTCCCAGAAAGAGACTCTTTCTCAACTCTAATTCTTCACTTAAGATCTATCTTTTCCTTTGCTAACTTTCTTCTGAAGAGCTCAGCTGAATATCATATTTCTATAAGGCCTCCACATATCCAAACTGCCTTCTTCATTTAAGGCACCTATTGTATTTGTACTCTGCTGGCTATTAACACAGTACTTCACATTTATTATATAAATATTTGTAGGATTAATTTCTTGTATAATGCTTTTGTAATAATTCCAGGTCTACTCTTTTCAGTAGCAAAGGCAGTTTAACAATTATTCTAACAGTAAAATTTAACATGATCCACCAAGTTGTGCTCTGGAAACAGGAAAGCCTAGGTAGGAATTGTTTTCAAAAATGCTTAAAAAAAGTAAAGGAATGGAGAGGGAGGAGGAGGATATTGTGCTAAGCAAAATAAGCCAATCCCCCCAAACCAAAGGCTGAATGTTTTCTCTGATCTATGGATGCTAATTCACAATTGGGGTTGGGGGTAGGGAAGAATAGAGTTACTTTAGATTAGGTAGAGGAAATGAAGGGAGGGAAGGGAGTAAGTGGGTAAGAAGGATAGTAGAATGAATCAGAGACCAGTGGGATTCTACATCATGTACAACCGTAAGAATGAGAAATTATTTCCATCTATGTATGATATATCAAAGTGCATTCTACTGTCATGTATAACTAATTAGAACACATTAAAAAACTACATTATAAAAAATGCTTTAAAAACGAGGAAAAAGTGCATTCTACTGTCATGTATAACTAATTAGAACAAATAAACTACATTATAAAAAAAATGCTTTAAAAACGAGGAAAAAAGGGGCTATTGCCCCCATACTGTTTCCTTTGAGGAATAATAAAAAAGTAGTTTTCTTTCATACCTTTTCTTCTTCTAATTGCTTTCTCCAAAGGGGAAATATGTCTCAAAGGACTAGTTTAAAAAACAAAAAGCTAAATATTTACCAAAATTTATACTCACATATATTTCCATTTTTCTGTATAAACCATAATTTAACAGCAAGTTATGAGTCATGCGGATTCTATGAGGTTTCATGGGATGTCCCTGTCCATAATAATAATTTCCAATATCACCTAAAATAGAAAAGACACAAATTAAACAATACAGACAATGGAATCTTCATAAATTCTATAAATTTATGTATGTTCAACAGTAGAAGGTGCTTACCACTTAATAAGATTTATTAAATTAATAATGTTCTTAAAATTAGTTTTGCAACTTTCAAACTCTATTAGGAAACTAAGATATTATGTCACTTTTACATGCTGATTATTTCATTATTATATTGTTTGTTTATAAATTAAGAAAAGCATTCAATGGGGGTTGGGATTGTAGTTCAGTGGTAGAGCACTTGCCTACCATGTGTGAGGCACTGGGTTCGATTCTCTGTCTATACCAAAGCCTATTGGAAAAGTTTTAGTAACTGAAATTTAGGTCTTAAAGAAAGGTTTGTTGTGCTAAAATATACCCATGGCCTTTTTTTTTCAAGTTAACAGGCTATTCTGTCTCATTCTGCATGACTAAATTGTCATAATTCCTAACTTGTATTTTAAGAATTGTATGTAAATGTTTTCATGTATATTTATTTAAAAATATGCAAGTAGCAACAAAAGGATTTTTGTTAATCAACCAAATTTCAATAAAATTAGTATTTTTAGGTAAAGTTCTAGTTTCTTGTAAAAAGCAATAAGAAAGCCTCTAAATACGTACTATGTTTTGAAATGTAAAGGGTGTTTTTTTTGTTGTTGTTGTTACTAGGAATTGAACCAAGGGCACTTTAGCACTGAGTTACACCCCCAGTCCTATTTTCTTTTTATTTTTTTATTTTTTTGGGGGGCAGGGGCTGGGGGGATGGTGGGTGTGGGTGTGGGGAAGATGACATGGGACCTGGGATTGAACTCAGGGGCACTCCACCACTGAGCCACATCCTCAGCTCTATTTTATATTTTATTTAGAGACAGGGTCTCACTGAGTTGCTGCTTGGTGCCTCACCATTGCTGAGACTGGCTTTGAACTAGTGATCCTCATGCCTTAGTTTCCTGGAGCCACTGGAATTACAGGCAAGTGCCACACCCAGATTTTCTTTTTAATTTTGAGACCAAATCTCACTAAGTTACTGAGGCTGGCTTGGAATTTGTGATCCTTCTGCCTGGCATAGGGGAACTTTTTAGGACAATCTTCATCAAATTATAAGTTATTTTCAGCTCTGGTTAATGTTTAAATAAGCAATTCCAAAATTTTGTTTGGATAGTTAAACTGATTTTAATGGCTTAAAGCCTATCATTTCAATATAGGCTTAAATATTAAAAGCTAGGATAAAGAATGCTTTGGACTCACTTTTCAGAAAAACCCCAAACTTTTGTACTCTCCATCTTCTTGATAATAGTCCATGATGAACATTCAGTTTTATAAAACCTATGCTTTTAATAATCCAATATGTTGGCATCATACCTCTGACCTACTGAACTTCATTTTTGACACAACTCTTCGAACAATTCATATATACACAGCTGTTCAAAGGTGAGGCCAACTTTATAAATATAAGTATCAACAACAAAGCTAAGAAATAATAGAGACAAGTCAAGCAGGACTACGGTGCTATGAAATACTCGTCTGCATTTATCACAACTGAAAGGCTGTGAACTCCAAAACAAAGTAATCAAAATCTGCCATATTGCTCTGTTCTACCCAGTGGCTGTACAAACATTTCTTTCAAAACAGCTTGGTCCCATCAGATTGTTATATATAAAAAGTCAGAGTTACAAAGCACCATGTACCTAAGTTCATGCAAGGAAGATATTTCTAAGTTATCATCACTACCAAAGGAGATAATTAGAAGAATAAAGTCCAATCTTCAGAGAACTTGCATCTATCTCTAAGAATTGCCAAGATGAATTTTGTCTCTAATATTTACCAACATCTTAAAATCAAACACTTTAATTAACAGGCATACAGAGAATCCAATGGAAAGCCAGAAGCTCCAATAATATACAGAAAGATGATGACACTGACAGTTTCCCAGTGTATTTGAAAAACAAAAAAATGATAGCAGTAATTGTCATTTCCTGAGTATTTGTCAGAAGCACTATTCTAAGCACTTTACATGGATTATTTTTTAATCTAGTAAACTAAATTATGATATAGGTAATATTACCATTTCATAATTGCAAAGAAATGGGAGATGCAGGCAAGTAAGGTAACATTACTAAAGTCACAACTAGTTAAGTGGAGGAGCTATCTTCAAATTCTGAAAAGGACAGCTTACAGGAGAATAATGGTACAGCCACTAGAAAGAAATGGTAGGAGAACCAAGTTAACAACTAAAGGATACAACACCAAAATCAAAACTCTGGGTCTTTAAAGAAATGAAGAAAAGAAACTACCTACTTCGGTATAATTTGTTACTAACAGGGTCCTCAAAATTTTATATTTGATATAGTTTCCAATAAGGTTCTCTGACTCTAATCCTACCAAGATTACACACAGTTTAAATGTCAAGTTACAAATACTGTTTCATCAAGAATTCCTCCAAAATATAAGGGAGTTATGAAAGAACCAGTTCTAACTTTTTCATGCTGAATGCCACACCTCAATTACCAAGATGGCTGTTTTATAAACATCTAATTCTTAAAAAAAGATAAAATGTCTTTTCCAAGTTTCATCAATAGCAGTACATTAATTCAGGTTAAGCTTTTGATTCCAAATGAGTTACAAAAAAAAAAAAAAAACAAACTAAAGATTTTTAGATCATTTTTGGACTCAGGACTATGAAATGTGCCTCCACTCCTGAAAATAACTGACTGAAAAAAAAACAAGATGGGAGTAGGGGGGACAGAGAGCAACAAGTTAAAAAAAAAAAAAGCTATTGTATTATTTTTGTCTGCTCCGCAATACTTAGTCCACTATCAGGCTTAGCACAACTGGTCCCTCCCCCTTGAAACACCTTGATTTTGTGTTTCCAAAATACCATTTTCTGATTTTATTCCTACTTCAGGTCCATGCTTCCACAAACTTTTAAATACCAGGATTTTCTCAAGTTCTCTCTTTCATTTAACAAATCAAGAGCCTACTATATGTCAGGCAGGCACTGTTCAGAAACCTGGGTACATCAGTGAATGAGTTCTGCCCTAAATCTCTGAAGAATGAGCTCTGGGTCCTTTTGTCTACCTACACTGTCTCTTTCAAATCCTCAATATTTTACAAGCTATCAAATGCAAAATTTCTACAACTAGTCTCTCCCATCTGGGTTCCAGGCTATTTTCATGTGAAATAAATACAGATCTCAAAACATAAGATGTTCAAAATAAAGCCCTGGATCAGTCTTCCCAATCTCAATTAGTGGTTCCAAGACCCACCTAACTGCTCTATCCAGAAATTTAGGAGCTATCCTTTACTCTTTACCACCATTTCCCTAGCTCCAACCCTATTTCCAATCCATCAACAAGCTCTATTAGTTTTACTGTCCAAACTCTCAGACATCACTATATTTTATGTGGACCAACATGTGTTCAATTCTTGCTTCTAGCCTACCATCTACCCATTAGGGGTATGCTCTCTACTTAAAAAACTTCAAGAGCTCCCACTCCTTGAATAAAAGTCAAAAAATCTCTTACCACAAAGTCTTCTCTGGCCATTTACTGCCCAGCCTTGCACCCCATAATTCCCCATGACTTCTTGCCTGTTTTCTCCTTGATATGCCAAGCTCTAACCGAAGGAGAAACTGGCCCACTGTCTTCCTTTAGGTCTTTCCCGGTCTGACCAATTACTCTATCAAAGGTCTCCTTTATTACCAAGATGTAGACTTTTATCTTCCTCTTAACATATAATCATTCCCCCATCAACTATTAAGGATTTAACACCATCAAAAGTTTTTATTAAGAAAAAGACATAATTACTAATTTTTGTTATTGTTGCAGAAGAAACTGCAAAAAGAAAAAGTCTTCAGATTCCAGGTGCTAATCTTTTGGACATTGTAATTAGAGTCAATGTAGAAAAATAAAGTGGTAGACTGATGGAATACTACTGTTTTCATCTATAAAACCGACAAAATACCTATCCATAACTCACAATGGTTATAAGAATTAAAAGCTTATATTACAATGGGGAAACACAAAATTAAAGCCATAGAAGCAACAGGAAGAAAAAAAGTAATAATTTGCTGATGAAGTGAAAACTGAAGGAAGTGAGGAAGAAAGGAATTTGGGGAAAGAAGATTCAAGCCTAGAAAATCTCAAAAAGTTCTACTATATTTAATAACTATGTGCAATTAATAGAATTTATGACCTACTACTATAGTCCATTCAGCATTTTTGCCCTCAAGAAACAATTATCCATTTTATAGAAAATAAAGATCTGTAGCACAGCTAAGACCCTATGCAGCTATATTAAAGGCAATCTAGTAAAACACTGGCAGGGGTTTTAAGTAAAAATGTCAGAAAATCCCTGGCAACAGCTGGCTGCCTAGTAGAAGTCCTCTGCTAAAGTAAATCCAGAGTACACTGGGAAGTATGATCTTTGTAATTGTTATAGTCTATCTTTGTATAGTGTTGAGTGCTTTTCTCTGAATCATCTGTTTCCAAACATTTTGATTATGCACCCCCATAAGAGGAAAAAAATAAAAGCACAAAGCAATTTGTGCTTAATTATATAAATTATATAGGCATTCAATCCTACTACACTGCATACAACATAAAACACTAAATATGATAGGTCTTAAGCTTAATTCAAAACAAAATACAGTTAACATTCCTAAAGTATTAAAAATACATTAAAATTAGAACCCAGCATAGTTTCATTTGCCAATTACATTTAAATAGATGAAAATCACATCATTTTAAGGCCAGAAGGGATTTTAGTGACTAATTAGTAGCATATCATTTTGAAAATTATCAATCTAGTGTAAAAGATGACTAAAGTTTAGAAACGTGCCCTTGGAAACTCTGAAGGCATGAGTCAATATCCAGAGTATGAACTCTTTACTTTTGTTCAAAGATTTATCATCCACAAATACCTGAAGGTTCACTTGGGACCAGCATTTCAGTGATTTAAAGAGTACAATACTGAAGACTATAAATCATGGAGAGAATACATCTACTTTTATAAGTCCCTTTTATTGAAAAGCACAAAGTCTCAATTCTCCGAGTTGCCAAGAGGCTCAGAGTGTACTTACCAGCCCCAGAAAGCCAATAGTTCTATTCCCACATTCTATACATAACCTATAGTTACACAACTTACTACATCACTCCTTTTCTCCTTTCTTCTTCTTCCTTTATCAACAAGTTAAAACCAATTAATCTGGGATACAAGATTATTCAGACCCTATTACCACTGATACTACCTATTCACAGTCCAATCATCTTATATACCTGAAAGTATAATACTTTGATATAAAATTAAAAAAAAAATTATGGCTACTTTTATAACCCAAGAAAGCAGGGTTTTTGGGTAGTGAACATAGTTTAGTATGCTATCACACATTAATTAGCACAATTACACCTATTCAATTGAATAATAATCGTTAGCCCCCCCCAAACCTCAAAATTCCAAGTGTAAACAACTAAAAAGCCAATTTAAAAAAAATAAGTCAAAGAAGTACCAAAGATAGGAAATAGATAACCCACCAGAGATTTCCAAATTGTTAGTTATACATCTGGCTGCTGACCATCAGGGAAAGTCGTTGATGGGGCTAACATATTGATTCAACTATGATCACAAAACATTTAAAGTTTCTCCACTCTGTTCATTGGCCTGCATCCTATTCCTGGAACCAGTGCCTGCTCACTCTCCCTCAATAAAGACTCACCACACATGGGAGCAGGAAGAAATAGCTACAGAGAAAACTGCTACTCAGGTATACCTCCTAGTTCTGCAATTCAAACTTCATAACAAGTTACAAGCAATTTACCCCATCATAGCCTATCACTGCCAACAGTAACTGGCATTCCAAGAAAAGCCTGAGTACTAATTTCCCCATTTTGTTAAACCTCTTTTCTTTACACCAAGCTTTAATAAAAACAAATCTCTAAACCTTAGAAACAATATAAATTTTAAAACTTAAGTTACATATAGGTTATTTCCTTTCCAATTTGATGAAGGGACTGCAGGCAAAGTTTTGCCATTAATCCAAAACATGCAATGAAATGCATGTTAAAAACTGACATGGTCTCCCATTTGTACACCTCTACACTGACCTCTACATTGGTATGATTTCAAATCAATTTAACACACATATATGGCCTTTTCAAAAAGTATTTTCTACAACAGGGTTGTAAGATTTTAGTTTTTCCAATAAGTGACACAGTGGCTTGACAATAGGCATAAGATTATCATTGCCAAATGATGGTATGACCATTTTTAAGTTAAAGTTAGGCCTAATCCTCTAGGGTCTACCCATTTCTCTTTTATGTGTGATTCCAATACACCAAATGACAGAAAGACCTCCAAAATTTGTATTGCTTTGTAAAATCAGACAGGATTATCAGACAGGATTTTCAGGTCATTAAGGCAAGCTAGCTTCTTTGTTGAGTTTCCTTACTCCACCTTTCAAGGGTAATCTATTAGTCCTATAAAATTTGTGAAACAGATTACTACTCCACTTGGTATATAACTAAAGCTGATACAGGAAACAGATTTCACAAATTTAATTTCAGAAATTTAAATTTCAGTGCTCACACTCCAACTGAGAACCCTCAAAATTAAAATTATCTGACTGCTATAATTCACTGTATTTTGAGTTCAAGCTTACCTGATTAGACTATTTAGTCCTTTACACTACTTCTCAAAAAGTTTTCCTACACCAGGATTTCCACCACCTTGCCTAAGCTCTCCCAAACCTACAGAGCAGGGTATATATTTCCTGATCGAACAAAGAGCAACAAAGAAGTGGGTGGTAACCACCTCCCATAGAGGCAAGCCAGGACCCATCGAGTCAGATCTACCACACAAGCAGAAACCGCTCCAGGTTTCCCTACCACCGTCTCTTACTTCACTTGAGGACTACCTACCTCAAACTCGAAAACCTAATTGTTACCGAGGAAGTGCAGCCCTTTCATTTGAATCCTGAGAAAGTGGCGCTCAAAGAACGAGGAGAACAAAGGGTAGGGATGGAAAACACGGGTGTGAGGGTGCCACTCGCCGGAGTTGGGCCCCCACCCTCAGTAACTCCTCTCCAGCACCGACCGGTGGCGGTGACCGGGGTGAGGCTGGAAGGGTGAAAGACGATGCTGGGCAGACAGAAAGCTGGGGAAGCGCTCGCAGCCGGGGAGCTAGGGGGTTAGGGGGAGGGGAGAGGTACGAAGGGGCGGAGCTCTCCCGGCCACCGGGCTTTGTGTAGTCGCGGCTGGGGCTGAAATTATGAGTCTATGGATAAGGATCGGGTGCAGGAGGCTGGAGAGGACCCCCAAACCTGCCCTGCGCTGGAGGCGGGCGGGAGAGGTGCGAGGACAGGCCGTCTTCTCCCCGCGACCACGAAGCCATGGTAGGCCGACGCCAACCCCGCGGTCGGTTGCTGCGGGCCGGCTTACAGCACCGCCGCAGGGAAAGGCGGCGGCAGGCCAGGCGCCCCTATTCCCGCCCGCAGGATCCCAGCAGCCGCTCCGGGAGGGGGATCTCCCACTGACCAAGTCGGGTGGGGAATGGGTTAAGATGCGGCCAAGCGTCGGTCCCTCCTCCTCTCCACCCCTCAGCACCGGCACCCACTCGCGACGGCAGCCGCGGGGTCCCGCGCGGCTCCAGGCCAGTCGCCTCTGCCCTGCCCGCCCACCCTGCCGCTCGCCCGGACTCTCACCATCGTAGTAGTAGCAGACTTTCTTCTTGCCGCCTCCTTGACTGTACGCCATGGGCTCCCGGGCCACCGCAGCCTCTGGGCTCCGGCTCCTCCTCCTGCTGCTGCTGCTGCTGTTGCCGCCGCTCGGCGGGGAGAAAAGGGTTGGGGGGCAGGCGGGGGTGGCAATCCCGCGGGGAAGGGCAGGTCGGAGGGAGGAGAGGAGGGGTGCCGGGAGGGTTCGGTACCGCCCGGCCTAGGGGCCGAGAGAGCGGAGAGGGGGGTGGCAGCAGCGCCAACTCGCGACACTGGGGAGGGGGAGGGGGCCGCCAAACCACCTCTGGAGGCCGAGGGGAGGCGGGATGCATCCACTGTGGCTTCGACGGGGGAGGATGGAGTATGGCTGGAGAAAGAGGCCGCTTCGGATCTGGGACAAAAGTTCTTTGAACAATGAACAGCCTGGGGAGGGCGGCACGGTACATTGTCTTTTTACGAGAAAAGTGGTAAGCTTTCGCTCCGCTGGTAGATAAAGGGAGCGTGGAGCGGGGTTGACGTTCCCCCCTCGGATCTTTGCACAGTGGATGCGCCTATGCTGAGCTTGCGCAGTCGGTGTCTCCTCCTCAACTGTAGCCTTGGCCGTCTAGACCCCCTCCGTGTCGTCCCACGCTGCTCCCCTCCCCCACTGTCGCGAAGCTCCCGCCGGAACCAGCCACGTGCCGCTGGCCGGGCAGGGGGAAACCATTCTCAAGCTGCTTTCGGGCTTCGGAACCGTCCCGCTCCAACGGTGGGGGTGTAGCCCATGGCCATAGTACCTGGTTGCCTACTTTTCTCATTTATTTTTTCTTTTTTGCTGATAATTGCTCCGAGTTACTGACTTATTACAGATATTAAGGGAATAGTGAACTGCCTGGGTTTGAATAAGCATTTATGGAACTCTTGCATTAGGCTTGGTTCTAAGCATTTGCATTTATAATGTTTCATTGATATATCCATTTATAATAAATACATATTTAAGGCACCCAACAATGCTGTAATGTGCTATTTCTATTCCTTCTTTGTAGGTGGGGACCCTTGGAAGAACTTGGTCCTTTTAAATGCTAAATAGTGGTCTGGGAAGTTTGAACTCATTCTTCCAACTCCACACACCTTAGCTACTCCCCGTAACTGCTTCTGCAGCTAGATTGACGCTGGAATATAGAAATCTAAGAGAAAGAACTTTGAAAACTCCTGGAAGTTACAAATACCTGTGTCCTGGTGTTCAGTAAGTCATTTATCAAGCTCCACCCCTAAGCCAGTCACCTTAAGGTGAGAAGTGGAGGCTGACAATCTGAGATGCTACACTCTTATCCTATCACTAAACAGTTCTTCCTACCTGCACATTCTCCCACTCTCCATCCCCTCACCCTGCAAAGAGGCCTTTTTGAAGCAAGAACCATTTGGAGCCACTAGTAGGAAAAAAAAAAACAACTTATTTTTTTCTTCGATTTCTGAATCCCCAAATGTTCATACTTAAGGCTGTAATTTTTATAGACTTTAACCCAAGAGATTTAGAATAAGTCAGTCCAAGGTGGCTCTTGCTGCATCCTTCTTCCCCGAAGTTTGTAGCTTTAATGAGACCCTGTGTGACTGTTGCATTTGGTACAGGGACCACAGAAAGAAACATTGGCTTAGAGGTAAAAGTTAATTACATGGTATTGACTTCCTAAGTTTTTTTCTTACCAATTCCAAAGTCAACCTGGAAGATTCAGAGAATAGAATAAGTTAATTTAGTTAAAACTCATTTTTTTTTTCCCTCAGAGCTGACAAAGTAAAGTCTGAAAGAAAACTTATTTCCTTCAGGAGACCTCCCTTCTTTCCTCCCAGTGAGGCTGTTCTCTGTACCCTTCCATGGAAGTAAAGCATTATGCTTTAGCAGCTCAGCACTTAGAATTATACAGTTGTCCACAACTTGACTGAATGACCCACTACAACAGTGTTTCATAAAAGCAGGAGCTAAGTCTGTCATATATAATTGTTTCTTAGTGCCTGTAACTTCCAGCAAGTCACACTTTGTTTCTGAATTGCTTTATCTGTAAAATGGAGAGTAATTTCTCACATGAATATTAGAAAACTCATTAAAATCATTACGGAGTGTTTTTTAAACAAGTATATGAATGTAAGAAATGGTTTTGATTGCTTTTAATAATAGTAATAATAGATATTATTATTGTTTGCATCATAGCACCTAATAACAAATCTTTTGGTTGGTTGAGGAACTTGCTATATTATTTATTATTTAGGCATTTTAGATGAGTGGAAGTACATTATTTTAACCTTAGAAACTGGGATTGGACAAGAAGTGTGGAGAGTTGGCCATAAGATTTATGTTCCTAACCATCTATAATGGACCTTAGGTTGTCAGAATTAAAAGTATATTCAGCTATTAAAATCCACCCACAAACTGCAAACATCATTTACCATATTCAAACTCATCTCTATCAGCCCTTTTTAAATAATGATTTTTAGACCATATGCAAAAGAAAAGAGGCTGAAAGCAGAGATAATTCTTAGGATACATAGTTGAAGATTGTCCTTTCCTTAAAATATTTTATATCATTCCTAATCTGTTCATAGTAATGTGTTCTTTTTAATTTTGAAGCTGTTTACTTTGAAATTATTCAATAAAATGGTATATTAATAAGACTATTTAGAAACAGTGCTCTTTAGAAACTGATTGCTTCATCTTATGCTAAAAATTACACCCTGCTGACAACCACAACAGAAGTTTAATTTTTAGCTGGTAAAAAATAATTATTCATTAAGTTTATTTGTGCTCTAAGAAAATTTATATTCTTGGTATGAAATTCTATTTAGCAATTTTAAGGAAAAGGTAGAAAAGTATAGTGACGCACGCACTATGGTAACGACAAACGAAACTGGCCTCAAGTTGAATTCTGACTTCCATGTAAGCATGGTGCCTATTTTTATGCAGTACTACAAATTATAATTCAAAAATCTGAATAAGAACACTACAACAATGAAAGGTTATAGGTTATAGTGTTATTTGAATTATGCTTTTTTTTTTTTTTTTGTGGTGCTGAGGATTGAACCCAGGGTCTCACACGTGCGAGGCGAGCGCACTACCGCTGAGCTACAACCCCAGCCCTGAACTATGCTTTTTTGTAAGATTCAAAATTACTTATGATATTAAAAATGTATTTTTGAACCATAGTTTATCTGCTAACTTACTCAGTTACATTACACCTTTTAAGACATTCCTGTTAGCTGATTGATTAATGCTTTGCCTATGACCTTCAATACACATTCTCACTCTGATCTTCCTACCTATTTGCCCAAATTTTCTACAAAATTTCTACACCCACACTGTTGAAAATATCAACTTGTGTCTCCTTAACATCTTATGTATGTATTTTAATTCTTCTTTCCTATCTCAATATTTTTTAACTCCTTTCAAATCTGATCATCATTCCTCTCTACTTACTACCAGAACGATACAGATGGAATTAGAGTATTTATGTTGTGGCCATAAGATATAAAGTGTAAAGATGAGGACAGTGGAAAATGATGAAAGAGACCTGGGTCCTTGATGACCTCATTTCTCATTTTTAGTTGTAACAGACCTGGATCTCTTATCTCTGGACTTCTGGTTATATGAGAGAAAAAAGAAGAAGAAACAAACAAAAATTCAGTTAAACCACTGTACAGGTTTTTATATGCAGCTGAAAACAATCCTAATTCATGTGAACTATGAAGTAGATGTTAATTCATAAATATCAGGGGTTTCTGGCCATTTCTACTAATAAACTATAGGTATTTGTTGGAAGATAATTCTTCATAGATTTCTGAATATCTTGAAGTTGAAAGTACTGACTGCCTTTTGTTCTAAACCTTTTTTTCATGGATGACTGTACATTGAACAACTTTAGAAGCTAGAGAAAATGACTTTCCTTGGAAAAAAGAGCAGGTATGCTTAGTATTAATTACTGAAGAGTCAGGTTCTCTAAATTTAGGGGTCCTTTCCTATAATAGAATCCAACCTAAATATTTGTATTATCTGGCCCTCTTCATTTAATAATGAGAGTATAGGGCAGTGGTGGAAAAAAATATTAACTGATACTACTAGTCACTACTATTGCTCTGAGTAATAAATTATCTGTTGTATTTAACGAAGGTATCTGTGTCTAATACTTGAATGATGACATTGTGGTTGGAACTACTTTCAAACTCTTTGTTTCTTGGAAGTTTTTGGTTATGGAGATAGGCAGAGACATGGCTATTTGGAAAAGGAAAGATGAAGGCTTTGTTAGCCAACTAACAGAATTTGAGGAAGGGCTGTATGAACTAGTAGTAAACACATTGACCAGATTGTATAGTCAGTTAGAAAATAAATGGTCCTCCTCTACAGTATTGCCTGTTAATGAGAAATTAGGGAGGGGGTTGAGGCAAATACCAGGAAATAGCTTTAGAGGCTGTCCTGATTGTTTTAACTTTCCTCACCACGTAGACAGTGTCAGCCTTGTTCCCTCAGACTTGCTCATGTTGATCCAATTAGGGACCCCCAAATCTTAACCAGCATTTTCTTTCTAGGGATACCCTATTTGCATCTAGGACTATATGTGGAAGCGAGACATTGGTTTTTCTACTTCCAATATCATAGTGATTGAACCTTTGGTGTGGTCATAAGAGATTGTCAAGTGTATATGGGAGCTGGAGTAGATCACATAGCCCTCACACAACTGTGGAGAGCTTCTGAAAGAGAGTGTTATGGTTTGGATGTGATGTGTCTTCCGCAAGCCCACATGTGAAACAATGCAAGAAGAGTCAGGAGAAATGATTGGGTTGTGAGAGTCTTAACCCAATCAGTGAGTTAATCACTTGAGAGTGGTAACTGAAGTGGTAGGGTATGGCTGGAGGAGTTTGGAATTAGGGTGTGGCTTTGGTATGTATATAAATCTATAAATCTATCTATCTATCTATCTATACACACACATACACACACACACATATTTGTATCTGGAAAGTAGAGTCTCTCTCTCTGCCTCCTGGTCACCATGATGCGAGCTGCTATCCTCTGCCACCCGCTTCTACCATAATGTTCAGCCTCACCTTGAGCCCTGAGGAATGGAACCAGCCTTCTATGGACTAAAACCTCCCTCAAATAAACTCTTCTTCTGGTAAGATCCTTTAGTCAAAGCAATGAAAAAACTGACTAAGATGGAGGGCCACTTCAGT